ACTTAAGTTGCGCAAACCGCAGGTGCGGCTCAGGTCGAGACAGGAATTCTTTACTTGCAGAGTGGTGAACGCGTGGAATGCGTTAGATGACGAAGTAGTGGCTGCCCCTTCTGTGACTATCTTTAAGAAGAAACTGGATGTTTTCATGGACAGGCAAAAAGGTGGGGGGCAATGTTGACGTTAGGTACTCGACAGTAAGCAACTAGGATAGTCAAAAAACGAGAAAAAACAATAATACAAAAATATTTATCTTTAAGAGGGTTAGGCCTACCCTAAAATTAAGGAACGCTCGACCTCGACACGTGATATCGAAATGGGTGAAATCGCCTCTTGATATCACAGTCTTGAATCTTGAATAAATGCTATGATGATATTAGGAAGGATGTGGCACCTAACCACATCCTAAAACACAGGAAGTGCAACAACGAAAGTTTTTCGCCAACAGATTTTGCCTACAATACACACTTCAATGAGAATAAAAGAAATTCCAAGCACAGACATTAAGACAAGTATGTACTCCAGGTAATGCAGGCAACCAGGCAGTTGCATGACGAGTATGTACTTGGGATACCACCAAAAGGGTTAAGCTGTGAATGCATCTGGCAACCAACTAATTTGGTATACTGTGGACCTTCAAAAATCATATTTCTATTCAAGGAAGATTACAAAAAAGACCTTGCTGCATAAATGGTGTAGGACTGTGTCTCTAAGAAGGATTCTTCAAATCTTCAACACCTGGTGGCTCATTTTACTGTCACTTCCATTTCTAAACTGTCATATCATTTGGATACAGTGGTTGTTCAATGCTCTGATGACTGAGTTACATACATTGATATAATATCTCCTTGTATACAGTGTTTGTATTTAAATGCAACATAGGGAATATTTTGCCACCTGTAGGTGGAGGTCAGCAAATGCTATAAGGCCCCCAGGTTGCATATATGCAAAGAAACACCAATGATAGGTTTCATCCTTACAGATATGCAACCCAGTGAGCTATAGGGCATGCACTGAACTCATCCAACAGGTGGCAAACATTTCCCTATGCTGTGTTTAAATACAGACAGGTGTCTGTATTTAAACACTACATATGGAAATTCTATGTAATACAGGCATCTGTCGCTGATGGGTTGTTGTGTGTAGTACACAGATCTCAATGTCTGTATGACTTTCTAAAAATTACTTGGAGGTGTTTGTTGGAATCTCTTGGGTTGCCATTGTTGCCTTCTGTTGTGTTTGCTGCTGCTATGCAGACTAAATTTCATCATTGCTTATTGCATGTACTGCATTATTGGTTGCTGCTCTTGACCCTTCTTTCCACACAATGATTGCTAAAACAAGGTTTTTCCAGTCAATTTTCAGAGGAAAAATAAAAATACATATGCATGGAAGCATGTCTGTTAAGCTACTAATGCATTATTCCTCTTGGAAAAGACTTGAACTGTTTATTCATTCTCCAGCATTGTGCACATCTGTTCAAGGTAACACAATTATTTTACCTAGATAAATATGTGCTCAATTGTTGCATTTGGGGATAAGCAACCACACAAGTTGCTTGGATGTTGTACTTTTTCACTCTCTTAGTAGATCCAAGAATTCTTTTTGAACTGAATTGCAGTTTTCATATTTTTTTATCTCATTTTTCTCAGGGATGAAGTTATTGCCAATTCAAGAAATCCTGACCGTCCCATTTCAATGCTAGAACACCTGCATAAGCCTGGGAAAGACGAAGAAGACAATGGCACCCGTCGACGTGTCCATCGCATCTCTTCCCCTGAGAAGTGGGAACTCAAGCAGGTATAGAGTTGAGAGAGGCTCTCAAGTAAACGTTTTCTTCTGATGAAAGAATACCTATCTTATCTTTTATTAGGTGCTTTACTATATATGGGATTCCTGTCTCTGTTGCTGTAGATGATGGCAGGGAATTGCATTCCAAAAACAGAGCTGCCAGACTTTGATGAGGAGACAGGACTCCTGCCTCGAGAGGAGGAGGATGAAGAAGATGTGGAGATTGAACTGGTGGAGGATGAACCTCCATTCCTAAAGGGTCATGGAAGAACTCTTCAAGATCTCTCCCCTGTTCGAATCATGAAAAATCCTGATGGTTCCCTTGCTCAGGTCTCTATTTTGTTTTCCTCTCATCCTTGTTGCATGTTTGCCTGTAAATCTTTATTCATTAAAGGTTGAGGTAAGTAGAAATATCATGCATTATTGAGAAAATTATCATCTAATCCTGTTAACCCTTTCCAGCCCAATGATTCCCAGTGGAAATACTGTCCTTATCCACTATTTCCCCCCAAATTTTCTACCTCCATTATTTCCATTGGAGTCAAGAAGTCTTGATCTCTAGCATAAACAGGGTGCGGCATTAATCTCTTTACTGAGAATCATTATTATTATTATTTGGCTGCACTGATATGGCAACACTGATTTTAACATGCTGTAGAAATATAATTTCTACTAAACTGCAAGCTAGTCAACTCATTACTGCATCCAGCATATTAAAATAAGTGTTGCCAAATCAGTGCAGCCTAATATAAAAATAATTATTCTTGGTAAAGCAACTAATGCTGCACCCTGTATATGCTAGGGATCAAGACTTCTTGACTCCAATGGAAATAATGGAGGTGCCAACCCTGACCAATACAGGGGTGAGTCACAAACAGTTTACGAAAGCATGAATGACCTATTTACCTGTAACTCCCTCATACAGCAGTTGCTTTCAGTGAAAATCTGCTTTTAGATGGATCTTTAAGTGATCTATTACTAGACCCACAATTTTTTCAAAAACTATTAAGGGGAGACTATGAGCAAAAATTGTCTAAAAAACTCAAAATTTTTTGCCCCAAAAAATTCTCATAACAATCAGCTTTCAGAAAAACCAAGTTTAAATGTGTTGTGATCATAATATCTCACATTTTGGCCCTTGTTCTGATAGTAGCAACTGTTTTCCAGGAAGAAAGCAACAACCATTTTTGAATGTGAATATTTTCCCAAATGATGTATTTTTTCAGCAGAAAGGAGACCATAAAGCTTCAGAAAGTCGAAGAAAAAGCTGCACAAGAGGAGCAGGAAAGCGTGCAATACAGAGCTGGGGGTTTTTAAAGTAAAATTTGAACTCATTTGTATTGTGAAACCTTTAAAGTGGAACCTTTTTAGTAAATTTCAAGGGGAGTTTAGATACAGAGTCTACTACTACATATGGTTGTATCCATATGTAGTAGTAGACTCTAACAAGGCTGAACATGTGAACTATCATTATTTTACAAAAAACCAATGCAAAGCATTTTTAACATGCGATTTAATGCAATTTGATCAGTGCATCAGTGTAGGATGTTAACATCATATAGTCAAATTCATCACCACATGACATTATTATTTGGCATGCTCTACATATTCAGGTAAAAATTAGTCATGAGTCTGTGACAGTTTTTCTCATTAACATAGTAAAAAATTGACTGATAAAAATGACAAATGATATCGAGAGATACATGAATGAATGTAGTTTGGGAAAATCTATTTGATTCAAGATGGAATTCATGTTTAACTCGAAAAAAAAGCCAAAATAGAACAATTCTGCAGTTTCATTGATTTTGAAAACTAAAAAAGAAATATTTATAAAAGAATAATCAGGTATCTTTCCATATGTGTACATAGTATGTACTTTCAAGTACGCCATACATTATCTTTAGTAACCTATGAAAATTAATTTATGAGATACAGTACACCGAATGTGGGGGAAAACAGCACTTTGGAGAGTTGCACTTTTTAGAGCCCTTCACTCGTGAAGGGCTCTAAAAGGGCTCTATTTTTTTCTCCATAACCATTGCAGATACAGGGGTGAATGGGCTACCATATTTCATCACTTGGATGGGAGGACCACATAGGGTAACCAGGGGTGTAGTGGACCACTCCTAAGTTTTACTGCTATAAGATGCAGAAAAAGCTTCAGTTGCAATCTTCCCTTATGTTAGCATTAAGAAGTAATGTTCCCCTCAAGGGTTAACAGAAAGTCAGTGACATCTAGGATCCTTTGTAGGCTCTAAACTCATTGAAGGTAGGTAATCTGGTTTCGTTGAGTCAATTTTGTATATCAGTTACTGAAATGACTCGCCACAGATCATGTTAGAATTGAAAGTCATATGATTTAATGCCTCGTTTCAATAAATATGGGGTGGTCAACTGCTGTATGCGAGTTAGCCATCTTGGGTAATAATGGACCTCCCCAGTCCACTACTATCCTGTGGCTGTATGGCCTCAGAACAAGGCTCCGCTTTGTTATCCTGCAGCTTGACATCATAAATGTATAGGTTTGATTGAATAAGCTCTTGAACACATGTTTATACAGTAGTGGACTGGGGGTCGTCCACTACTGGTGGATCAACTGATAGTAGTGAACCATATGCCCGATTTAGATCAATCATTGTTGAATGATTGATGACTGAGTTTCTTTCCTGACATTGAAGATGATGAGTTGGATGAAGATTTGAGTACCAATGTCCACAGTGCTTCTTCTTAGATAGTGACAGTGGTAGGGAATTGACTGTTTGAACTGAATGAACTAATGGGTTTTCTAAGTCAAATGTGGTAGTAAGAAAGTCAAATGCAACAGTGAAAGTCAAATGTGTTGCTGTGTTGGATGTTGGATTTTAGGGAAAAGCATGTTCAACATAAGGAAATCAAAAGCAACAGTTGAGTTTCTTGACCTTGACAGGAGACATTTGCCCTCTTGTTGCATTTATGTTACACGCTGCTCCTTACATAAATTCACCAATGCATTTGCCTGTGGGCATTATTGCATAAAGGCAATAGTGCACCAATGCACTATTGCCTTTATCGTACAGACGTTTCATATCAGATTGTGAAGAATGAATGTCATCGATTGCAAGAATAGATGCCAATAATGTATTCTATCATTACCAGGATTGGTCCGTGGACCATGTTGCCATCAAAATTAGGGAGAGGAGCCCAAGTTCGAGGGAAAATGGGGGAAAAAGCATTTTGAGGTCATATATGAATGTGCATATGGAGCAGTGTGCAACAGAAATGCAACGTGAGGATACATGTCTCCTGGCATGGCCGAAAAATTCGACTGTCGCATTTGACTTTCTTATCACCACATTTGACTTGGAAAAACTATATGTGCATCTATTCTTATAGTCATATTAACTTACATTCTTAATTATCTGACATGAAACATTGCCAGTACGATGAATGCTTTAGTGACATCACATACAAATGCATTAATGAAGTTTCATATGTAGTCATGTGTAACGAGAATTAAAATGCAACGAGAGGGCACATGTCTCCCTGCATGACCAATAAATTCGACTTTCACGTCTGATTTTCTTATGCCGAACATGCTTTTCCTAAAATCTGACATCCAGCACAGCAACACATTTGACTTTTGTTTTTTCATACTTGTCTTAGAAAACCAATAAATGGATGTAGAACCCAGCAGTAATAATATAGATCAGTCTGCTGGAAGTGGTCTACCACTGTGTCCAGCCGGTCCACTACTGTCTTTCCATGGTCTACCTTTGTGCTTCCGAGGTTAATAAAAGAGTTATGTAATTAGTGGGAAACGACGCTGACATATATACTTCTTTTGGTAACATTTTCGTAGATAATATTCAGCTCAGTGTTTTTGCAATTGATGACACAAGTCAAAATGAGTGATTCTCTCCAGAGGATTCCCTGCAGATCCACCCAAAAGTGGTCCACTGCTACCCTGGTCACCCTATATCTCTTTAAAGGTCGAAGAGTATGACCTGATAAGAATACCATGGCTCTGTTTGATTGAAATGAAATCATCCTAGTATACTTTTGACTGTCAAAATACGAACATGCACATTCCTGATAACACCAAAAAATATTTTTTTGAGCATTTCTTGTTGAGATGGATGGATTATAAGAAAGATTTCAAAAAAATAAATTAGGTTCCTTATGCTTTTGTGAACTGTAAATGCTTCTGTCATTCCAGAATTTCCAACAAGATTCAACATATGGCCACTGTTCACATTCAGGGGTTGTTTATTTTATTTGTACAAAATGTACAATGTTACAAATGCCAGTGAATGCTTAATTTTTTTAATGATAGGTCTTTTAGTGCCAGAGTTAATTAGATTGATGTTAAAAATTTAGTTTTAAAATGCCAGAGTCTAAGAGCTGGCTCTAGGTGGGTTGAAGTGAGAGGATAAACATGATCTGAAAAAATACATTTCATGATCTTCTTATTGCCTTCTCTTTGACTCTGGCATTTTTAAACTAAATTTGTAATATCGATGTAGTTGACTGGCACTGTAAGGGTTAAATGTTGAGCATTCACTATATCTGGGTTTCACAGTGGCTTTTATTATTAATTTAAAAATAATTGGATTCCTCTTTTTTCATATTTGCCCTCTTTGACTACATTCTAGCAAATTGATAATTAAGGCCACAAGATGCAATTAACCTAGATTTTAAGAGTTTCCAGTATTTAATTTAGTAAATAAAATAAATTGACTAGAAAGGGTTGAAAATGAATCACTATGAAGAAAGTAAGCTTGTGCATATACAGTCGTCCCTCGCCACTTCGCGCTTCGACTTTCGCGGCTTCACTCTATCGCGGTTTTTTCAAATACCTGTATATTGGGTAATACGAGTATTTTTTCACTGTCGTTTAACACAGCAGCACACATGTTAATACCTGCAAAGAAGAAGAATTGGATGTACTTTCAGATTATATCACGATCACACTTCTAGCTATTACAGTATTTCCCCGGCAGGGGGGGGCTATCATTGTTTGGCACCCTTTACATTCCTCAATTGATATGGTCATTGTGAAAAAGAATTGCATGCACTATAAAACTGCTTATTGGCCTGTGCAGCAATGAGCAGAAGCCTCAGGAAGGGGGGAGGAAGGAATTGATATTTTTCAGATGAACCAAGCACAGCAAATTTTTCCTACACCTTCATGGACTTCATTACACATTCTCTGTAGTGTGTATTTACTTCACTATCATCCATGTCCAGTGTGAAGATCATCTGATCACTAGTTCATTCAATATTACATTTTATACTGGCTATTTGCAGGCTGCAGTTGCTGCAGGCCAACAGACTCAAAGAGGTGCATCTCTTATGAAACCACTGTATCAAATTCTGTCAACAATATTCTACATTGGTGCCATTGCTTATGGGTGTCATCATTTTTATAAGGTAAGGAATTACAGAAGATTTCATTGGTTGTTATACTGAGATGTAATATCCAAAACCCAAAATATTAAATTATTTTCAAGTGGATGCAAATTCAGTACCAAATATATGTGAATGAATACTAAGTTGAACATGTGATGTTTCCTAACCAAATAATTCTAGGTTTGATGAACCTTGTAGAATCAATTGTAGCTCTCTATTTCTACATGTAATGCCCTCTACAGTGCTATAGTAGGTTTTGTAAGGTGAAGTCAGTTGTACATGTAAGTCTGTGGTCAAAGAAATATAACAAGCATGTTCTAATTACTATTCCTTCTTTCAAAATTTTTATACCATAAAGTAAAGTGACTTCCAAAAGCTGCTGAGTTAGCAAATTAATTAAAAGTTATGCTTTACTTTTCCACAATTTAATGGAGTAGGCAACCCCTGGCCCTTTAGTTGCTATGTTTTTATTACCATGAAAGAGGTGAGCATCAGGAAAACCTGAAAGAAAAATAATGATAAAAAAATCTATGCTGCACACTTCTAATGGGATCTTAGTGGTAATGAAACCAAAATGCCTCAATCTTTTGTCTGAAAGATCTGTGTTCCATGGGAGTAGAATATGCTGTGATTTGTAACAAATAAACTGAATATGTATATATTCTTTTTTCTAATTCAAGACTTGGAAAAATGGTGTTTACAAAATGTGAGCTATTGTTTTTTAGGATATGTGTTGATGTTGAATTTTATATTTAAAAAAAATCACCTGAGACATATTGTCTATTTTTGGTATACAGGAAATTGTCCTCTCAATTTATTTAAATACTCGACTTACCTACGACTTACCTACTTGTAAAAATTTCCAGGGACTTATGTTCCTTATTTATTTTCCAATGACCTTTTCTCTGTTCCATGTCATTCCAACAAAGAAGTAACTTGATAACAAAATAGACTTACTCAATTAGCTACACCCAATGGAGTAGAACATTATGGTGCTGAATTTACATGTATAGTCGTCCCTCGCCACTTCGCGCTTAGACTTTCGCGGCTTCACTCTATTGCGGTTTTTTCAAATACCTGTATATTGGGTAATACGAGTGTAATGGTGACTAAAGAGTGTTATTTCATGTCTAGAGGGCTCTAATAGACATGAAATAACACTCTTTAGTCACCATTACACTTGTATTACCCAATATACAGGTATTTGAAAAAACCGCGATAGAGTGAAGCCGCGAAAGTAGAAGCGCGAAGTGGCAAGGGACGACTGTACTTGGTTTCCCAGAATGCCAGTCATACTTTGAATGTTAAAAATTTTTCATAAAAGGATGCTGAAATGTTACAATAATGTGAGAAGGTGCAAGAAAAATATAGTAAACCATTGAGTGCTACAAGTGATAAGAATTCTGAGATCCTGTGCAATTCTTGATTACCTTCATGCTTTCATACTAGTGAGTAAAGTAGTACAACATACAAGAGGAAGTTTTTGTCTTTATAGGCAGCTATGATGCAGACTGCTCTGTCTAAGGAACGTCGTGAGCAAAAGATGCAACAAAGAGAACAGGAGATGGACTCCATTCCATCAGGCCTCAATATGCATTGGATTGATCCTTTGCCTGATGGTGTGTGTTCATTATCAATATTATTATACTGTAGTCAGATTGTAGTTGTTAGTAATTTGTAATCTTGTGCTTATTTTTGTGCAGCGGAGGGCAGGACTATAGCTGCAAACATGCGAGGCATTGGAGTGATGAATCAAGACCTACCAGAATGGAAGAAACATGTGACCGGGGGAAGCCGTGGGTCTTATGGCCAAAAGTCAAATCTTTCCCTATTAGAGCAGCGTATGAGTCTCCCTATCTACAAATTGAAGGATGAGCTGGTGAAGGGTGTAGTAGACAATAAGATTCTCATTGTCATTGGTGAGACGGGCAGTGGGAAAACAACTCAGATAACACAATATCTGGCTGAGTATGGATTTACTACCAGAGGCATGATTGGATGCACGCAACCACGACGAGTTGCTGCCATGTCTGTAGCTAAGCGAGTGGCAGAAGAATTTGGCTGTCGCCTTGGTCAGGAAGTTGGCTACACCATTCGATTTGAGGACTGCACCAGTTCTGACACAGTCATCAAGTGAGCCTTCCTTTATGTCTCATATAGCAGCAACATTCCCACAAAACATGCTACAACCAATTATTTTGCCATAGGTACATGACAGATGGTATGCTGTTGAGGGAATGCCTTATTGATCCAGATCTGAAAAGCTACTCCGTTATCATGTTGGACGAAGCACATGAACGTACTATCCATACTGATGTCCTCTTTGGTGAGTCTCATTTCTCATTCTTATTAACCCATTCACTGCTGTCTGGAAGTTAGCACATTAAATGCTGTGTGCTATGAGAATTTAAAAAAACAGTCTGTAGCATGAAAACTCTGACTTAACTTGCTGTAAATTACAGTGCAAATGCAATTCCATAATGAATTGATAAAATCATGACTTGTTTGCATGTGAAGCTAGCACACAGTGAGAGTTGGGCATGACATGTTTAAATATCATATAAGCAGTAAATGGATTAATTCCACTGCTGAATTGGTCTTTTCCTCTTTTTTTTTTCTATATACCTGTAGGTTCATTCTGTCAGAGCAACACTACCCATAAAACATGATTTCCTTTGAATTTTCATTAAGTTTGGGCTAACTGCTCTATTCCATTGAAAAACTAAAAAAAAAAACTTTATCCTCCAGTCACTCTATTCTCAAGATTTTAGTTCAGAAAATATGCTTATTCTGTGACCTGGTGGCACCCATGAACCTCATACTTCTAATAACTTTTGTTCTAGTCATAAACAACTTAATTTCTAGGCTTATTAACCCTTTCAATGCTATTGGCATGTATACATGTCTGTCACTTTAAGTATGTACCATTCTTAGTCCAAAGTGCAGTGTTAGTAAATCTAGTCAATTGGGCCTTCATCTGCCATCAATTAATTACCTTTACTGCTAAGTAGAATGAGCACAATTCAAGTTAGTACCATCTTCCTTAAGGTGGCAGACCTACTTTAGAATTGTCATTTTTGGAGGAAAAAAAGTATCCATGAAAATTGGATATAATCATACTTCAACTCATGCAGATTCATAATATGGTCATAAAAAAACTGAAAATATAAAAATAATGGTTAGTCAGCTTAATTTGTTATTAATGTCCCCAACATGTTGTTCTTAGCAGCTGTGTTGATTGCAATTTTCTTGTTACAGCTTTTTTTTAGTTGACAGGTGCTGCTTTGAACAGCATAACTTTTCATGCAATACACTCATATCCTTCATTTTTGGCTGAGAGCTACCTTGAATATTCCTCCAAGGAATGATGGTAGCTTGTTTCGTTTACTCAATCCTGTAGCACTTTATAGTACCATTGAATATATAATTTGGTCACAAAATTCGCTAAAAATAAAAAAAATGTCATTTTTGAAAAAAGTCACCTGCTTCTTGAAAAACTGTTTTCCTCAGGACATCTGTAAGGATTCGAACTACAACACTTGTCACTTCCATCAAATATATGTGAACCATCTGTGAGAAATACTATTTGAAAAAAAAATTCATTTTTTGTGCTCTGGTGGCCATATTGGACCTTACATACATACATACATTTTCTTGCTCGCTTTTCCCAACTTAATGGGGTCGCGGTTCGAGCATTCACAGGAGCGTCCTCCAGTGATCTCGATCCTGGGCAACAGACTCAAGCTCAGCTGGTGGGATGCCGAGCCGTTCCCGGTGCCGTTCCCGATTCCCAAGCAGCCTGACACACCCTATAAAGCCACGAGCACCCATCTGTATCCATTGCTTTCAGAGTCTCCGCCCGGATTTCATCCACACCAGGAGACTTCCCATTCTTCAGGCTAGCAATGGCCTGCAGAACTTCCTCCATGGTGAGACTAGTCTCCGCGCTGAGAGGCTCCAGGTCGGGTAGGTCAGTGTCCACTGTTGGTGGGTTTAAGAGCTCTTCAAAGTGTTCCTTCCACCTCCCAAGTATATCCGCCTCGGCAGCCAACACCTCCCCGTTTCTGTCTTTGATGACCCGGAGCGTATGTTGCCTGCCTTGCCGTAACCTCCGGATGGTTTGCCAGAACACCTTGATGGCATTGCGGTAGTCTGATTCCATTTGATTTCATTTCCACGCCTCCTGTTTCGCTTTGGCCACAACACGAGCAGCAGTTCGTCGCGCCTCGGTATAGCACGCCCTAGAAGAATCAGACCTACTGGACATGTAGGCTACCTTCTTGGCAGTGACAACCTCGCGCACCGCTGGTGTCCACCAGGGCGTTCGCTTGGCGTTACCGTGAGCCGCTCCGATGCGCTTCTACCCACACACTCTTGCTGCCGCCGCCGAAACACCAGACCGAAATAGAGTCCATTCGGTCTCTACATCTGACGTCTGGGGAGGCAGTTGGGNGAACTCATCATGCTGGATTTGGTTCGTCTTGGTCACCCTCAACGGAAGCCCCTATAACATGGTTGGACCTGAGATATTACGGCCTTCCGCATCACTGGGGTCCATCCTCGCGACGTGGACGCGCGAACCATTGAGGACCATATTGGACCTTATTAGCATAAATTATGCAGGTTATCTCTATGAACGCAATATTTGCCCAATCAACTTTCATATAGTCAGTTTGGTTTCTGGGAAGGAATAGAAATGGAAAAAGTTGCCTAAACCCTTTCAGTCCGGGCAGGACTCAGGAGTTCCACACTTTCTTCGCATATGTTATAGGGTTACACAGGAATGCACGACCTTTAGACCATGGTGGGATTCTGAGTCCCAGTTTATAGTAGTTCACCTGATGTCAAGTTGACAGCAGTCCACAGTAAATTGGAGCTGCTGTATTTCCTCAGGCACTTCAGAATTGGTGTCATCTTTTGCATTTATTTCAGCTAATACATTTCTTTCCCAGCCAATTTTTCCCGCTTTTTGCAAGCTTGATAATGGAAAATAGTGCAGGAATGCTGGGTAAAATATGACGTAAAATAGGGATATGAGTACTAGCTGAACTAATTAAATTTCATGATTAAATTAATTAATTAACTAATTTTAAAAATAATTTAATAAAGATTCACTGTTATTAAGGAAACCATTTTAAAAGCACTTTTATTTTATATGAGCCTTGTTGAAGCCAAAAAGTATATTACATATTTTTTCAGCACCTAGAACATAATTCAGGACTGAAAGGGTTAAAGTAGGTCTGCTATCTTAACCCTTAATTACTCGCGCTGGTGTATTTCGTACACCATTCGCAGTTATTTTCGTCCCCTATCTGTTTACGTGATCGTACAGGCAGCATCCGCCATCTATCCTCAGCTTGATTGTGTGATACATGTGCACATCCTACAACGGATGAAAGTAACTAGAGCAGAACTGGCAGGGTTTGTATGTAATTTCATACCATATTACTGAATAAATACTGTCTATATACACTGGTGTATAAAGTACACCATGCGAGTAGTTATGACATGAGACAGGGCGCGAGTAGTTGAGGGTTAAAACAGACAAGAGCCTGAAATATACAGTGAAAACTCGTTAACTCGAACTTTTAGGGACTGGGCAAATTGTTTCGAGTTTTCTGAAGTTCAAGTTATCAGGAATTGCCCCCCCCCCCCAAAAAAAAAAAAAAAACTCATGTTAAGGGACATAGGGGACAGTATGGCTTAGAGTGAGAGCAATAGATTGACAGAGCGAATGTTGGAGGCTTTTTTATAGCCAGAGCTTTTTGGTTTTTATCCTCTCCACAGGCGTCTTTGTGGGAGGAGGGAGAAGCAGAAAAATTAAAATAAACAAAAGAGCATCCTCTCAAATGAGTTTCTTGTCATTCATTCTATTAAAAAATCTAAAAGTCCCATGAGAAGAATTTCCCCCCCCCCCCCTTCTCACCCTGAATTCAATTTTCAAGTTAGCAGTGAGAAAATCATTGTAGGGAGTGAAAATTTCATTCAAGATATCCAGAAATTTGAGATAGGCGAATTCGAGTTAAATAGAGCTTTCAGCATGGTGTCCTGTGTTGGTTCCACCAGGACCAAGCATTGAACTTCGAGATAAGCAGAATTTTGACTTATCAGGATTTGAGTTAATGAGTTTTCACTGTACTTGCAATGGGGGTACTGCCTAAAAAAAAAAAAACTCAGCATTGAAAGGGTTAATGCATATTGGTAGTTAATCCGTGCTGGTTGGGGTTATTTGCTATAAACTGGTTAATCTAAAAAGAAGTTCCCAACTTTACATGGATGCAGATGAAATTATATGCATGGTGTTGCCAGGAAATTTAAAGGATATTTACTTCACCTCAATACCTTTGATGCCAACTCCTCCTTTGAGCTCCACCAACAGATCCTCTTCATGCACATGAGGAACAGAAAAATAGAGAGAATATAACCTCTGGCAGGGCCTAACACATGAAGGAAAGGTGTCCTTCACTCATCCTGCTCACTCAAACACAACTCCTTCGATCTCTTCATAAGGACTGAATACCCCACGGTAGCTGACCCTTAATCCCATACTCCTGTGGCACTTACCCAAACTTCTCTTGAAATGCACAGTCACATGCCTTTTCAAGATCCACAAGGTTTCTTTGGTACACTTCCCTTGTTTTTTGAGAATCATGTAGAATGAAGAGCTGATCCATGGGGCTGTGCAAGTAACAATATATAAATGTCAGAGAACAGGGTCACTACATGGAATTGGAGGATCCATAATTATGCAATATTAAAATGGTTTGAAACACATCACAAGCCACCTAATCTTGTAATTCCTTTGGTTGATCCATTGATCTTGCATATGGATCTTGCAATGCACATGTCATGATTATACCTTTTGCTAGGTGCCTTGTGACATATTTATATGTACATTCCCACCACACTTTCCTCAATAGCTTTTCATTTCAACCATTGAAAACCACTTGAGCCCTTCCAATCTCTCCGACATATAGTTATTTGAAGAGAACAACAAAACCTCTCAAAAGGAAATATGAAATCTCACAGCATATACAGTGGTACCTCGCATAACGAACGCAATTCGTTCCAGTGGTGCGTTCGTTATGCGAGGTGTTTGCCAGTGAAAGTGAAACATTTTTTCCTAATTTCCTTGATTTTTCGCGGCGACATGGATTACATGATTTCCCATAGAAGTCTATGGGAAATCGTGTTTCGCATAACGAACACCTCACATAACGAACGCACCGCTGGAACGAATTGCGTTCGTTATGCGAGGTACCACTGTATATGGTTATTTTATTGGGTTGGAAAGAAAGTCTTGCAACACTCTGTGCAAATTTGTAGATCGTCGAAGGCCTTGTCCCGCAGGTGATTCTTGAGGGCCCGGAACAAGTGATAGTCGGAAGGGGCCAAGTCCGGAGAATACGCTGGATGGGGTACAACTTCCCACCCCAGTTCCGAAATTGTCTGGCGAGTCATCTTTGCAACATGTGGACGAGCGTTGTCATGCAGAAGGAGAACTTTGTTGCGTTTGGGACGCTCTTTTTGAATGACGCCAGCTAACTTCTGAAGTTGAGCAGTGTAGACGACAGCAGTCACGGTGGTACCGGTTGGCAGGAGCTCATAGTACAACATTCCTTTTGAATTCCACCAACAGCAGAGAAGAACCTTCTTGTGGAACCCTGGTTTCGGTTCATGTGGCGGCAATTCTCCTCATGGAAGCCACTGACTCTTGCAAGTATGGTTGACGTAGAGGACTCAGCTCTCATCTCCGGTAACGATTTCCTTCAGAAGGTCCTTTCTGTGCGGACGAAGGAGCAGTGATTTGCAGACACTGACACGGCTTGCTTTGTCAGAGTCGCCGAGCCGATGAGGCACCCATGTCGAGTAAACCTTCTGATAGCCGAGGTTGTTCAGATGGTTGCCGATGGCCATATGACTCCAAGTGTAGTTGCCAATTTGCGAGTGGTGGCGTTCGGCTTCGCGTCGAGGGCGTTCCGCAGGGCTTCGTCATCGACTGTAGATGGATGTCCTGAGCATGGTTGATCTCCGAAGGTCGTGTTGCCAGATTCCAAGCGTTTGAACCATCGAGACACCGTGGAATAGTGGACGATGTTGCCCTTGAATGCAGCACAGATGTTGTCCGCGGCGGCTCTCGCAGAGTGTCCTTGGAGGACCTCGTAGTAGACAATGGGGCGAAGAGTTGCTTGTTCGATTGGAGCCATGGCTGCCAACTAATGGCAGAAGCTGCCTTATATACCCCGAGGGCAGAAGCTTCGAGAACATTCCAGCATATACAAATGCAAAGCCCCGCCCATCAATCCTTTGAAAATTTTTATAAATAGTTTTAGAAAGTGTTGCAAGACTTTCTTTCCAACCCAATATATACATAGCAATTTATTTTTATTGGCTGGATTTGATTTATCATCCCTTTATCTCCTTTCCTTCAGGGCTTTTGAAGCAGGCTATTATGAAGCGGCCTGAACTCAAGCTGATAGTGACTTCAGCTACCCTGGATGCTGTCAAGTTTTCTCAGTATTTCTTTGAGGCTCCCATCTTCACCATTCCAGGGAGAGTCTTTCCTGTAGAAATATTGTACACCAAGGAGCCTGAGACAGATTACTTAGATGCTTCACTCATCACTGTCATGCAGATTCACCTCAGTGAACCTCCAGGTATATGCATTTTACCCTCCCTGATTTTTTTTATATAGGTAGGCTTACATGGAGTGAAGTATCATTCACTAGCATAGCTTTCCTTCCTCTAGAGACTGTCCCTGAGAAAATGGGAAAAGTCAAGGACAAGTAATTTTTTACTTGCTTGGGTTTTGATGGAACTTGGCATGTTTGTCCCACTCAAAGAAAGGATTAGACATTTTAGAAATAGGGATTCCCTCCATGTACAACCTAAAATGCAGCTGTTTCATGAGAACGACAAAATAAAAGTGGAAATGTTATATTTCCACTGCCCTATTTTAGCAGTGCACGAGCCAGCAATTTTGTGGGCAGAGCCATATGTGGGGATTATATTAGGGGTACTGAATAGTAATGTCTTTTTTTGTATACCAAATGTAAACATTTTTTTTATGAGGAGTTTTTGTTTGTTTATAAATGAATTTCATTCATTAATCTGAAGAACTGTTATTTGTCATACATTTTTTTATAACAAAAATTTTTTCATCTTCTTCAGCAAAAATGTCTGACCACATACCCAAAAAGATCCAAATACGACATTTTATGCTCTATGAGTTTCATAAGGGAAGTAAGGCAACGGAGGCCAACAAAAATATTTTTCGTGTTTGTAGAGATGTATTGGATGTCCGCAAACGCCAGGGTTGGTTCAGTAAATTCCGATCAGGTGATGTTGACTTCTCGGATCACCATCGTTCGAGAAGACCAGTAGAGCTGAAGAACCATCTCCTGAGGTTGGAGGTTGAGTCAGACCCCAGTCAAACCATCCAACAATCGGCAGAAAACGTAATTCTTCATAGTCTAGTGTTCAAGAACACCTTCAACAGATTGGGAAGGTTAATAGACAAGAAGTTTCGGGCTTCACACCAGCTTTTGGCCCAAAACAAAAAAACGGATTTTGTTTCTATTACATGTTCACCCGATGCAGCATTTGATTAAATCAAGGCATTTTGCACTTCATTGTACTTCATTTTGTGTAGATGAACTTTCTGTCTACTTCTATCTTCTCTTGCAAGGTCAGCATGGTTTTTTTTTTATTAGTATCCCTCCACTTTTTCCACTTCTAATCTATTGCTGCATCAGGTGAACATATTTCTATAACATGTTCACCCAATGCAGCAATAAGTATAAAAAATATTTGTGATCAATAGGGGAGGGTGAACCTCAGGAAAGGGCCATATTTTTTAAATTTAATTCACCCAATGTACAGAAATGTGTGACATGCATCAACTTGAAGCTTATGACCTACCGATCAAGTTTCAGCTTGTTCTCAATTCCGAGTGTGCAGAGGCAAGATGGCAGTAAAATTTAGAAATGGCTCCTCCTGCTTAAACATTGAAATAGTGATTAACACTTTCACTCCAGAGGGTATGTGCCTGAGGTTTTCTTGAAGTCTACTAAAAAATTAATAACTTTGAAACTCAAAGTGACTTGCTCTTTTTTGTAATTTGAAGTGTATATATATTCTATTATATTTTGTTAAATTACTTCATTACTTTGCAAATTTCAAGGGACATGCTATTATATCCACCGTTGACTGATGGTAGTGAGGACTGGATATATGTCCATTGGATTGAAAGCATTCACCTGTTGTTACATGACAGTGTGTCTGGTGTCTAAATAGATGCATTTTATGTCGAGGAAGCTAGATTTGATAGGTGAACTTTGCTTGAACGTGTCAAATTACGTAACTCTTTTAAATTTGGGAATGGCCACCACTCCTGTCTCCAAAATGCCATGAGAGACCTCATGGCATTCTTCTTTTAAAGTTTCTTGGCATGTTCAAGCACCTTCATCTTGAATACTATTCATCGTAGAGAGATAACATTTGGTGGACCCACCTTTGAGACCAAGGGGAACACGTTTCTATGGTCAACAATAATGTCCACCTGAGGGCTCTACTGATGGCTACATTTGCATAGTCTGTTACATGTCTGGTACTATAAGGCTGAGCCTACCCCCCTCCACACCCCACACCCCCCCCCATTGCTTGGGCTGTGAAAGCTCTGCTGATGAGTGCTTTTGGCAATCACATTAACATACATTTTCCTCATGCATGGCCACTACGATCTCAAGATCTGACTTCACTTGATTTCTGGTTGTGGAGATACCTCAAGTCAATTGTGTATTGTGCAGTGCCTGCTACTTTCACTGACTTTGAAAGATATCATCCAACAGCATATCACCATGTTGAACTGTAGAAAGCTTCATTCAGCTTTCTATCAAGGCATTCCACAACTGCAAGCCGAAGTGGACATGAATGGTGGTCATATTGAGCAGATGTAGTGCCCTCCAGTGGAGATTGTTGTTGACCAAAGAAACATGTTCCCAGTGGTCTCAAAGGAGTGACCACCAAATGTTATTGCTCTACGATGAATAGTATTCAATATACAGGTGTTTGAACACATCATCAAACTTGATGAAAACCCTGTACTAGTGAATTTGGCATCCACGATTTGAAAATATGCTGTCATATTGGGTATTGTTGCAGTATGAAGTACTTTGAATGTGAGAACTAAACTCTTCAACACAGTATACCCTCATTTAGGCACCAAACACACCTTCATGTAACTACGAAGTTTGTCTTTCATTGCATTTTAGAGACAGGAGTGGTGGCCATTTCCAAATTTACTAGAGTTATGTAATTTGATGCATTCAAGCAAAGTTTTACCCATCAAAACTAGGTTCCTTGATCTAAAATGTCCCTATTTAGACACCAGACACACTGTCATGTGGCAATCGGTTAATCACAGTTTCAATGTTCAAGCAGGAGCTGCCGAGTCTAAATTTGACTGCCGTCTTTGCCTCCACACACTCGGAATTGAGGATGATAGGCCAAAACATGATCAGTAGGTTGTAAGCTTCAAGTTGATGCATTTTGCACAATTCTGTACAAGGAGTGAATAAAAATATTAAAATTCCAGTCTATGCTGCTCCCCTACAAGACTTTCTAATCACCCTGCATATGTATGCACATATATTATGCTACAAGAAGTTGAAGGTGTTAAAGCCAGATGAATTAGAAATAAGGTCAATAATGCTGAGTCAAAAAAAGTAAAGTCCACAAGCCTAGGACAATCTCAGAGGCTCCTATATGTTTTGCACTTAAGAATAATGTAATGAAACTTATTGGACCTTTTGTTGATAGACATGGATTATAGTGGAGTTGTTTGATATTTGGTGACCTAAGTCATCGCTTTGGTTATTGGATCAGTGAATTAGGATTTTCTTATTTCTCCACAAGGTGGAACAACTCTGTCGTATTTAGTGAAAATCTGAGACTATTGAGTCACATTTTGCCCTACTTTCTGACAGAAAGACACCTTAACCTATTCACTGTTGTCCTGAGTAAATAACCTGTCCTGTGGCTGCCTGCTTACCTGTGCAACAACTTGGGATGCCACTGAAAGGGTTAAAAGTATTATGCATCTATGCACGCTTTAGAAAGGAATAAGGGAAAGGGGAAGTATAAAACTGCTTAGTATGGAATCTGGTAAGGGGTAAAGTAGTCTGGGTATTTTTTTAAATCAAGTTTTATGGGTTGATACAAGGATCCTCCCAAGGTGACTGCAGTAGCAGCAAGGAATATAGTACTTTACAAGAGAGGGAAGATGGGGTCACCTGATGAACATGTCCCTTGCTGCTGTTGATAATTTTGTTTCCCTTAATGAGGTAGGGGGTATTGTCCAGTGGGGGTTCTGGAAAAATTTCATTCTCCTACTAGGCTGCTCATTCTCTATTCTTTCAGGGGATATCTTGCTGTTCTTGACTGGACAAGAAGAGATTGACACAGCTTGTGAGATCCTCTATGAACGAATGAAGGCTCTTGGCCCCAAGGTTCCTGAGCTCATCATCCTTCCTGTGTATTCTGCCCTCCCATCTGAAATGCAGACCCGCATTTTTGAACCTGCCCCTCCAGGGTCCCGTAAGGTAGGGTGAAGTGTCATCTGATATAGGATACCTGCATGCCAACCATTGAAGTACCAGCATGAATAGTTGTGGAAGTGTTTAAAAGGAAATTCTCTCCTGAAGGTGGTGATAGCAACAAACATTGCTGAAACATCTCTGACCATTGATGGGATATATTATGTTGTGGACCCAGGATTTGTTAAACAAAAAGTGTACAATTCCAAGACTGGCATGGACTCTTTGGTTGTCACTCCCATCTCTCAAGTAATTTCTATCTTCTTACATCTTTGATCTTCAGGGCAAGACTTGGGTTTAGCATTAGATTATATACCTGTGTAGGCTCAAGCTAAGCAGCGTGCAGGGCGTGGTGGTCGGACAGGACCAGGAAAGTGTTATCGCTTGTACACTGAAAGGGCATATCGAGATGAAATGCTTACTACTCCTGTCCCTGAGATCCAGCGCACAAACCTTGCTGCCACTGTGCTTCAGGTGAGTCATGGCATAAGTGTTATTTATGCTATCTTCCTATAAGCAGTTCCTGTTGAAGTGATTTATGGCTGTATTTAATTTCTACATGGCAGTTGAAAGCAATGGGCATCAATGATCTGTTGCATTTTGAGTTTATGGATCCTCCACCAGCTGAATCTCTTGTCATGGCACTTGAGCAGCTTCATTCTCTGTCTGCCCTTGATGATGAAGGACTCCTTACTCGCCTAGGCCGACGGGTATGTCTTTCAAGTCTACTTCCAATCATCATTCATCTTAAAGTACTTTATCATCATGTATCTTCATTTACTTTAATGTTCTCAGATGGCTGAGTTCCCTCTGGAGCCCAACTTGGCTAAAGTTCTCATCATGTCAGTCCATCTCCAGTGTTCAGATGAGCTTCTCACCATTGTCTCCATGCTTAGTGTCCAGAATGTTTTTTATCGACCCAAGGTACTGACGAAGTCCTAATCACTTCCCTTCAGATACTTTTGCGAGTTCTTGAATGTGACCTTTATATTCTGCAGGACAAGCAGGCTCTAGCTGATCAGAAGAAAGCCAAGTTCAACCAACCTGAAGGAGACCACCTCACATTGCTGGCTGTTTACAACTCGTGGAAAAACAATAAGTTCTCGCATGCCTGGTGCTATGAGAACTTTGTACAGATTCGCACCCTGAAGCGGGCCCAAGATGTACGCAAGCAGCTTCTTGGCATAATGGACAGGTGATGCAGCTTTGCAGGCATTCATGCTTTAGCATTTATGACACACAGATATTGACTATTACTCCTTGTCATCTTTAGGCACAAATTGGATGTAGTGTCTTGTGGGAAAAACACAGCAAGAGTCCAAAAGGCCATTTGTTCTGGATTTTTCCGAAATGCAGCAAAGAAGGATCCTCAGGAAGGATATCGCACCCTGGTTGACAGCCAGAGTGTTTATATCCATCCCTCCAGTGCTCTCTTCAACAGGCAGCCCGAATGGTATAATAGCTCAACTTATCAATAACTTGATTATTGACTGATTAATAGAGGAAGATTCTAATGATGTCCTCCAATTTCATTTTTAAGGGTGGTGTATCATGAATTGGTGCTGACCACTAAGGAATACATGAGAGAGGTGACAACCATTGATCCGAAGTGGCTGGTGGAATTTGCACCAGCATTTTTCAAGTTTTCTGACCCAACAAAGTTAAGCAAGTTCAAGAAAAATCAAAGACTGGAGCCTTTGTACAACAAATACGAGGAACCCAATGCTTGGCGTATCTCTCGTGCAAGAAGACGACGCAATTAAGGACCCTGTGTTACTTCTGCTTTTCCTATTTATCACTTTATTTCATTTTTCAATCAGGTTTTGCCATGTGAATGAGAAAGATACATGAAATGTTTGTTGGACTCCCTTCTTACTTCCAGAGTTTCTTGATGCTCATGTTCTTCTCTGAGTCTTTTTGCATGACCTTGGCCACTGCCATGTCAAAGTCTTCTTGTGTCACATGAACTCGACGTTCTCTCAAAGCATACATTCCAGCCTCTGTACACACCCCCTACAGCAAAAAGTATATATAAGATGGATGTACTTACTTCCTTCATACATGAAACTCTTGATCAAGAATTTGAAATAGGATTGAGCAGTATTATGGACTCACCTTGACCTCTGCACCAGAAGCTCCAGGCATCATTTCTGCAATCTTACGCAAATTGATTCCCCTTGTTAGGTTCATTTTGCGGGAGTGGATTTTGAGAATGTCCAGTCTAGCTTCCTCATTGGGTGGTGGGAATTCAATCTTCCTATCTATACGACCAGGTCGAAGGAGAGCCTGGTCCAAGATGTCAATTCGGTTTGTAGCCATGATCACCTAAGGTAACAAGGGCAAATTCAAAAGAAAATGAGAAAGCAAATCATACAAATGAAGAGGAAGAGGAGACACAGAAGTCTGACTTTTATGTTTTTAGTAGCTTCAAATCCATCTAGCTGATTGAGGAGTTCTAACATTGTGCGCTGAACCTCTGAATCTCCTCCACTACCGGATTCGAGGCGAGATGAGCCAATAGAGTCAATCTCATCCATGAAGATAATTGAAGGTGCATGCTCACTGTTGGAGATGAAAGGAGTTCATTTCAAGATAAGAACATGAGCCCCTTTTATATGAAGAAATGGCCCTTTATCTTTTTAGATGTATTCAACAATGCCCATATAGGATCAAGTTGGTTCCCTCCACTTCTCCACAGATATCCATACACTGGGATTAACATGCATTTTTCTGCCTAATGCACTTCACAGTGTAAATTTGGATTGTTGATTAAATCTGAAATGGAGCATAGTTAATGCTGATATAATAGGTCTCTACATAGAGAATTTTTTAGCCTGTCCCTTTGAGTTCATTATATCAAGCATCAACTGTATATCAGAGCAAGGTTGTTGGATTCACACAGTCGCCTTGAATTGAATGGGGTCATGAGGGCCATTCAAAAAGTTCTCCCAAGGCTGATTTTTAAAAATATATTGAAAAATTATGACAATCAAAAGTGAAAGAAAAGCTGATTTTGGCTTGTGACCAACCACAAGGGTGTTATATGTAATCAAATGCCAGCCAGCAACTAGCATTATTACAGGGAATTTTTTCAAAAGAAACTGCCCAGAAATCCAGAAAAAGAGACCTGGTCTGCTGGAGGCTTACAATCATTCTGCATTATAATGCCAGCTGTCATTCTCCCCATCTGGTTTTGGAATAGTTTGGGAAATACGAATGGAAAGTCTTGAATCATCCACCCTATAGTCCCAATCTTCAGGGCTGCCCAGAGGTTTCCAAAGGCCTAGGGAAAAACTAAACTGGAGGCCCCTCCCTTGGGGACCCCCTTGATACGGAAGGCCTGGGGCAGATTGTCCCTGATGGCCCCCCCCCTCCCACTCTGGGTGGCCCTTCCAATCTCTTCCTGTGACTTGATTTCCCTTCTCAAAGAACCCATGAGAGTGACTCAATATTCTGACCTACAGGAATTAGATGCTGCCATGAGTCAAAGGATCAGATCCATTAGCAAAGACCACCTAGCACAAGGAGTGAAGAAGCTATCAGGATGTTGTGATGCTGCAACAGAAAAGAAGGGAGACTATTTCAAATCCCAATAATGCTGGAAGTGTCAAGAAGTAATGGAATTATTGGACCAGTTGCAGATTTTTTTGAATGGCCCTCATAGCTCAACATAATAAAATTTACATTTCTCTTGCTGCAACATCAACTTTTGTGCATGGATTTTGGTCTAAATCTGCTGTGGAACCCTCTAAGGTACTATACACAATTTATTTGAATCATTATTCAGAATTTGTGAGAAAGAATGAACATGTTGATAAACATCCACAGACCACTTACAAGGGCAAGATTGAATATTGGCATCTTTACATCATGTATTTGGTACATGGTATCAATCCTAATTCTGGAAAAACTCACTCAAAATGGACCCACTTTGGCCATGAATAACTTCACTGTAGAAAAGTCTGTTTAAGAAAATTTCACCCTGATAATTTCAATGTCCCAAGAAAAACTCTCTATTAGCTACATTAGTTGATACCAGATTTGGCCTTCCCAGACCTTTTGTATATTTGGTGCATAAATATATGAATGGCAGAAAAAGTATAAGTTAAAATTGTAATATGAGTAATATTCTATTCTCCCATCTATGAATCATACCTCCTTCATCCTAACCTCCAGTGAAGGATGTCCTCCACTGTCCCACTTCTCAATTTTACGAGGATACTTAATTTCCCTCCTGTTTTCCAAATGCATGGATATGTCAAAGGTAATACCAAGATAATGCAGGATGTGAATCCCTCCCCCACTTGAGCTGTCTTTCTCCAATTTCTTTCACTTCCAAGGGTAATGAATATTCATCATTTATGAAGGGTATGGAGGGGGGAAAGGCATGAAGTAATTGAGGCATCTTCTTGGCATGGGGCAAATAATCTTTTTGAGAGGAACTGAGAAGAAACTAAGATGCCAGTTTCTACCTCTTTTTTATGTTGGCCCACTTTTTCCCTCTTTCTCCTTCACCTCTCCATTCCCTAATTTGTCTCTTCTGGTATTGCAACAACTCCCTTTCCATCCATTTGTTAAATATACAATATCCAGTCACATCTCATCTCAAACTAGAGTCTTGTCTTAATCTGAAGGTCTCATATGAAGAGGGGGGGATATCCATCACTCCACCCAGTTCCTGTTTCATAAGACTTGAGCATTACTAAAACAAGGAGTAAAAAATATAGACAATTAAATATTATTATATTAAAGTACATAAATTTCCTTAAATTTACTACAATGGTATTGTAGTTTTTGGTAATATACCACCCTGGCATGTCCCTGATTACCAAGGAGATAAAAAGGGAAGCATGAGGAACTGACCGAGCCATGACAAAGAGCTCTCGCACCATTCGAGACCCCTCTCCAATGAACTTCTGAACCAATTCAGATCCCGACACACGGATGAAAGTACATTCAGTGTGATGGGCTACAGCCCTTGCCAGCAGGGTTTTCCCTATATGGAATAGCATTTTCCTCATGTCTCATTCATGGGATTTTTAAAATTATAAATGAAGATGCAATCATGCATGAAAATGCAGTGAGCTCACCAGTGCCAGGTGGCCCATAGAGAAGCACTCCCTTTGGCTGTGCAATACCTAATGCATCAAAGAGCTCTGGATGCTTTACAGGGAGTTCAATAACCTCCTTGATTTCCTTGATCTGTTTATCCAGTCCTCCAACCATCTCATATGTACTGTCAGGCACCTTCTCAACCATCATGAGAGACACCAAGGGGTCCACCTGGCAGTATGAAAAGAAACCCACAATCATGAAGTTATGAGCATTGATGGATTAGCTAACACCTCAGGAAGGCTATTATCTATACATAAGGTTAGAGTCTCACCTTGTTAGGGAGGATTTTATGGAGAGTATAGCTATCATTCCTAAGTGCAACTCTGCAATTGGGAGTCACAGAGGTTATATCAATATTCTTGTCAACATCCACAACAAATTTCCCCTCTGGGTGGACTTTGACCAGGACCTTCTTCTTGTCCATTGGCTTCACCACCTCTCCAACATAAGACCCTTGTTCCTGGAGAAGCTGCAACTCCTCTCGAAGCATCCTTACTAAAAGAAATTTCTTGAGGTTATTCATGGTTAATACACCAGCTCATGCTTCCTGAAAATGCATAGTATATTTCAGCTGATTTCAAAAGACAAGTTGTTAACAAAATACTTGATAGAACTCTACCTTTAGCATTGAGTTCATTTCTCTGAGCCTGTAGACGTCGCAAATTTTGGCTCTTCTCAGCAACAGTAAGATGAAGTTCTTCAGTCTTAGTGACATAATACTGCCTCAATCCTTCACCCTTCTCATTTGGCTTGGACAACAAACTCTCGGTTGGGGGGACAATAGGATCTGTGTCCACCTCCATTTCCTTTTAGACTCTCCTCAACTTTCTTTGATCTATACCAAATGCATTTTTATGGAATCAGAAAAGCACCATCATAAGTACCAGGCCTAGGCTTAGGACACTTTTAGGATGTTACTCTAATAGCATCTCATCAAAGCAAGTTTCATCACATCATACATTAATATAACTCATGCAGCAACCAGTCCTCAAATGATGGGATTCTGGAATTTGTAGCACCTATTCAGACTGGTGTCTTCCATGTATTACAATACTAGTCTTGGTACCTTCCTTTATTCAAAGAGTCATATCGTGCTTTACAAGAATACACTAATTTTCCCAAGGAAAAAAAAAACTGAATGATTATATCACATGTTCATCCTCTCAATTTCTATCATTTCTCTCCCTTAACCTATGCCCCTGTTGATTTTCCCCTGCATCATCCCCATGTCAACTGGTTCAATTCCTAAAACCTTGCCTCCAGACACATAGAATCTAAGAACTATGCAATTTAAGATTCCAAGTATGAGTGCACATTTGCAGGTATGGAGTTAGCGTCCCCCTGACCTCTCTAAAACTATTATTTGTATTTTACTAAAATGAGGGATAAGGGGGGCTGAAAATCATAGAACTCTCAAAAATATCTCATCTACTACTGAACTTTGGAATCTTACTCCACCAGCACCTTCCAAACATAATTGCCATAAACCAATAAACACATCTTCCACAGCTTGGGCAAATTTTCAATTTCAACAGCAAACCATTCTTCAGCTTCCTTGCTCAAGCTTATGAATGATGCAAAGGCTTTCCTTGACCCTTATCAATGCTTAATTTCTAGAAAAGGAAGAAGTGAAACTCACTGCACATACACCATACATAAATGGGGGGTTATAGGGAATTTGCCCATAGAAATTATAATAAGTGCAAAATTTGAGCAAAAAGTCTTGAATTTCAAGCACATACAAAAGCATCATCAGTTTCTTGCTAAAATTTCAAAACCACAAAGAGTAAATTTATAACTTGTTCAGCACCAAGGAACAAGGGCTGAGCTCTGATATTATTTCACGGTACTACAGCAGAGCTCCAGACAGCCATGGCTCAAATTTATCCCTAACCCATATCCCTTTCCATCTAAAAATGTGTAGTTTCTGACCTGTCCAAGGTTAAATCTGGAGGTAAATTCTTGATCAATTATTTGAACAAGATCAGTTTGAATAAACTGGTGATAGTCATGATTCACCATTACTAAAAATGTGGATACAAGTGTTCAATTTTGTTTGTAAAACCCATCACTCTTATGATCATTATATTTTCAAAACTAGGTTCTTCGAGTTCTAATGGTGTCAATCCCCATATCTAAACTTAAATGTGAATACCCTATGGCATAATACACCACAAACATAAATACATAATGTGCTTGTAAAACAGATATACTGCCTGGTGATGCATTTTTTATGCATGCTGGATGTGATGACAAACATTTAAATATCCATCAATGCATCCTTTCAGAAATGTCTACACTTCCATCATATACAACTGAAAAAGATCTCTTCATGAGGCGAAGATTGTCTCTAATATCGTCAGGCATCCGTTCACAGCGTAATTACCACCTATATGACGAAAGTAACTCTTCCGTTACCGCGCCTTCAATCATATGGCATCCTTTCTTACTCGGGTTACTGCATCACCAATGGGAATTCTCTCACAACGTGCGAAATGTGATTGCTGAAGTACGTGTTTACGTTGAAGCAACCGCTAAAGGAGAAACCTAAATCTACAATTCCATACTGGACCGACGTGATACGCCTACTTGACGCGAACTTTAGGTTTACTTAACGTTAGTGGGGTTCGTTAAAGGAATGCTGTAGTATCACGAGGCAGACATGTTTCTATCCCCTTGCTCCCTATGACGTCACGGTATCCACGATGAATGCAGCATTCATTTTTATCAAAAATGACTCACAGCAGGATTGTTCTTATATTATGCTGTGGAATGCTGTTTGGAATATTCCCGACGTTTTATGGTTGGATTTTAGATTTCTTTTGCCAAGTAAAAAACATATACTCTCATTGAGGAAGATGCTCTGATACAGATGTTCGTGTCGTCATCAATTACTCAGTAACATGGCGGCTGTCTTGTGACAATGACACAACCAGTGATAAGTACTTAGCATCGTAGTAGATCCTATGGGCGAGAGAAGTCGGTCTGCATGCAGGATCAGTTTCAGCCGTAGCCTCGGTGACGAGTGGCTCTTCTCGGGATCAGTTGGTTATTTCGTATCCAGACATTTTGGCCTTAATGATAAATTAAGGTAGTCATAAGTTGCCTAATTGAAGAATTAGATGGAAAAAAAAATAACCTTGGTCTGTCTTCATCATCAGCCCAGTGCTCAACCGCCTTGCTTATGTCTGAAAGGGGTTAGGGGGGGAATCCGATATTGGTGGTGGTTGTTGGTTGTAATCAGCGAGGAGTCATACCTTTGGCGTATTTTGGAGTTAATAAAAAAAAAATAGGAATAAGGAGAACGTTAGAGATGAACAAAATATCCTATACCCAAATAAAATTATACTTTAAGCACGTGTGTAGTCCATTGTTTCATGTCATTCAGATTAGGAGTTGCAGGAGTGTGAATCCTGGTGCTTTGACAAAAGTATTAACCCATAGCTGCATAAGGCAAACTACTGAAGGTAATGACTTCAAATTTTGTCATACTCTCACTTTAACAACACAATTGCTAAAAAAAAAAAATACCTTGCATCAACCTGAGACATGAAATTGATACTTGCATCTAGATTAATCTACATCAGTTTAGCATTTAAAACACTTGTAGTTATTGCCTTCAGAGTTTTCATCTTGACACTGCCTCTCAGTTTGACCCTCAAAAATGGCCCCATAGTGAAGTGGATTGAGAGAAAGAGGTAATCAGGCACCTACATTGGCGCTACCCATTTCCTTTACTATGTGCCTGTTTTGGGTGATTAGTATGACCCCATAGCCATTTTTTAAATTGAATTTTTTTTTTCCCTGTTTCTCCATGAACATCTGTGCCACACCTTTGAAACTAATCAATTTCATGGGACACTAGTATGAGCTTGTGTACGATATTTCTCTAGAATTGTTCAACTCTCTGGTTGTGCTTTTGTCAATGAGTATATTTACCTGAAAACAAAACAAGACACAAGCAAAATAGTACCTTTGGAAAGTATCCTTTATTAGAGGATTAATGGGAGAGGAGGAATAAAGCATGATGTCCAGGGCCTCTGCCAAGTGCCTGAAAGCAATAGGCCTTACATACTGCCTAAACAGGCACAATGTTCAGATGTGGCATCTATGATATTCAGTTTCCCTAAGTTAGGGATATCAAACTCAAATCGGTCAGCAGGCTGCATTCCTAGCCCTCTAACCCCACAGATGCCTGTGGGCTGCACCCATAATTTTTCACCGAAATTTGTGCTGACAGTCAATCCAAGTGAAATTTTCAAGAATAGATGGAGGCTGGATGAACCATCTCAGCAGACCATATGTTTGACACCTCTGCTCTAAGTGCACATGCGTAAAAATAAGTGTTAGAGTTATAATAGCCTATTACATACCGTAGAGGATCGTGTGGATGATCCACATGAAGTTTTTTCTATTAGAAGTGCATTTCAATGCTTTTGTAAAAATTACAAAAATTACTCTTTACGTATTAAATGAAATGATGCAAGAGGTCTTCACCTGTCACCACTTGAGGATGGTATAACAAAAGAAAACATGTGAGAGATACTAGAGAATGGCAGGGTACATCAATTCTGATTTTATTCTGATAGTTGAGATGTCTACTAATATGGAAATGATGTTTTAGTGAGAGTTTTCGGAGAATGGGGGCTGCAAATTGAATTTTATCAAATGTCCACTAATGTGATAGCATGTAACAAAGAGTTAGCACATTGAGTACCATTCGTGCCATATGGTGTATTTGATGTGGCAAATCTCCACCAACCTGCAGTGCTTGGCAAGGATATTTAAAAGCATTTAACCCCTTAAACATACCAGGTATTGGACAATTTCCTGCAATCATATGCCAGAATTTGGTATTATATAACATAATATTTTGTTACTGCTAAAGTTCTCTACTTGATGCTATTACCTCTGACTTTACTTCCTCTTGTGACACTTTTCCCCTGTGAGCAGTCACCATTAGCAACCAGTGAGCAGTGACCAGTTACATGGTTCCTCCATGATGCATATGGGTGCGTCGTGTGTGTTCAAGGCATTAAATCTCCTGCAGTCTGTGTTAAAATGTTTTTGGAGTACATAGCTTGTTGCGAATGGAATACCACTTTGCTTTCATCAATATAAAGCATATTTCCTGATTCTTTTGAAGCCAGATGTCAGTGCAGGGACAAAACCCTTGGCAGTGAAAGTGCAGTTCAATTTGTGAAATAGTTAGGGCTCATACTTCAAGGTATAGCCATCTGGCCATCCATTGCTGATTATATTGAAACTATAATTTGTAGTACCATTTTTAAGTGTCAGTTACCTTGATTGCATGTCAGGAACTTTTACTTCTAAAAAGACCTAATGAGTGCAAGGTGATGCTCAAGTTAGGCATTACCCTGAAGGCAGTCATAGAAATGGCAAACATAGATTCACTCTGTCATATATGTTAAAAGGCATGGTTTCCTTGCACATTTCCTTTGCAAATGTCCCAAGACATTTGTTATGTTCATGCTGTGCCTTACACATTTTCAAGCAGCTGTAAGTGCTGGTTGTTCAGCATGGACATGCTGGGAGCAGTAAAAATGATTTTTTGAACCCCAGCCCTTGTTCCGTTTTTCCTCCCATGACAATGCATGGAAATATTATTAACCCTAGAACAGCCAAAGGGGGCTCATTTGACCCAAAGGTCAAATCATCCAAAATTTTCTGCAATATGCCTAAGGAGGCAAAAATGTATCATTAAAATAAAGTATCAACAAATTCATATGAAACAACAATAAGCACTTCCCAAAAATAAAATTTAATTTAGATGATGTTTGGTAAAATATCAAAGTTTTTGGGGAAAGCACTATTTACATTAGTGAGCTTGAAGAACATCCCCTTTCCCTTGGCCATGCATGCGACAGATCATGCCTAGGCCACCTGAAGGTTAAAATCCCCATGAAATTCTTCATTTAAATCGTTGTAATGATAATGAGCAGACTTTGGATGTCCATCATAAGAGCCATAGGTGACAGTAGTTTTTTCTTGCATTTCAACCAAGCCACCACCCTGGACAAACCATAAGGGTTCTATGGATGGCCTTCTTGCCAACTGTCCACATTGACTCCATTCCCTCTCATCTTCCTTGCCTTTGTTCTTTCTTCCATTCCAAATAAAGGGCTTGTTCCTTGTATGTGTTATAACCACACCTTGTACCATTGATTATGTTTGCTGTCACCACTATGCAATGATCAGGGGCAGAAGCCCCCTTGGCCAATATGTTTTGTCTTTCCTATGATGGTTGACCTATGCCTGCATTTGATGGGTCAGAAAGATACTGGGGTAAATATGAAAAACCCAGTCATGAAAATTAAAATATTGAAAGGTTTCAGACTTGTCCCTTGTAGGAGTTTCTTCCCTCTTTTGTATATCTATATCTTGCATTCATGGGTAAAATATCTGTCTAATGTTTTATGACTTCATGAATTGGTCAGTGCTATAATAAGCTCTTCCCCCCATCTGAAGTAACTTAAGTTTTTTTTCTTTCAGATTTTAAAAAATGGGGATATTTTCAACACCCTCACCTTTTGACAGTTCTGTGGACAAGGCAACAGATGAGAACAACACTGGTGAAAATTGGGCTGTCATCATGGATATTTGTGACCGTGTGTTGGCTTCTAGCACTGGCCCAAAGGACTGCATGAAGTCCATCGTCAACCGATTGAATCACAGTGTCCCTAATGTTATAATGCAGTCATTGACTCTCTTGGATGCTTGCGTTTCAAACTGTGGGAAATCATTTCACCTAGAAGTAGCGTCACGTGGCTTTGAGAATGAACTAAAGCGGCTCATTGAAAAGGCACATCCCCGTGTTGTAGAAAAGGTTGCCACTCTTGTCAAAAAGTGGTCAGAAGCAGAATTCAAGGACGATCCCCAGCTCTCTTTGATTCCTTCCTTTTATCAAAAAATGAGGAGGGACATGAAAGAAAGAGGTTTGGATTTTCCAGGAGAAGAAAAATCCAAGCCGGCTACTCCTGCCCTTACCCTTGACAAGCATCCAGTTGCTGTTTCCACTCAGAAGGAAGAGGAGGATATTGCCAAGGCAATTGAGTTGTCCTTGAAGGAGACAAAGAGTTCCCCAAGGACAACTAGTCTCTATCCATCTACATCATCTAGTCCACCACCAGTGAAGGAACCTAGAAAAGTCAGAGCCCTGTATGACTTTGAGGCAGCTGAGGACAATGAGCTCACATTCTACACAGGAGAGATAGTGCATGTTCTGGAGGATTCTGACCCAAATTGGTGGAAGGGGAGAAATCAAAGAGGAGAGGGACTCTTCCCTGCTAATTTTGTTACTGCTGACCTCACCATTGATACAGGGAATAAGGAAGGACGAGAAGGGAAGCGGGTGTCTTTCAGTGAGGAAGTGGAGGTGAGTCCTTTCGTGAAGTAAACTCTTTCACTGCGGTGGTTGACTTATTCCACAGCAGCTAGTCCTCCCTAACCCATATCAATTCTACTATGTAGCATAAGGGTTAACATTCATCTGATTATGCGTTTAGGGAAATTTGGGAAGTTCACAATAGATTTCCTTTGCCATACCTCATTCTTTAGACTGACTTCAAACTATAGTTAAATTGTAGTTCCAGTTGGGTTGATAAAGGCACATGGGAACTTACTTCAGACCAAAGTCTGAACAGCAGCTGAACTATTGCTTTGAAATTGGCCCTCATGAAAATCCTATTTTGGAGCCCATTTTTCTGTAATAAGAGCTTTTACATATGCTATTGATGTCATATACAGGGTGTTTCTAAAGTTGCACAACCCAATGTATAAAACATATTTTTGAGTAACCTAAATTGAATTTTTTTTTTTAACTGGGTATATATATTAAAGGAACATATCTTACATACCTGTGAATACTGATGTTGAACCTAGAGAAAGTGTTGGAAGTGTCTACAGCATTCCTGCAAGCAAGCATATTAACATCCATACATGTGTTTACAGGAACTTTATTTATGGTAACAATACATTGCACTAACTGTAGAATTGTGCTTTTGTTTGGGACATTCACACCATGAAGAATTATGTTTGAACTTTTCTTGGCACTGCTTGAAGGTTTTTTTTAGGCAAAATATGCCTCCACAATGAACACACAGTTGCCTTGTGTAGGACATGTTAACAACTGGGAGTTGGCCTCACTTCACACAAACTGCCTCAAACCTCAGAACTCATGCATGTTGCAACCTGTTCTATACTGTTTCACTCCCAGCACACTTACTAGCATTATATTAACCCAATTGAAATTAAAAATTCAATTTAGGTTACTTAAAAAAATGTTATATATACATTGGATTGTGTGACTTTAGAAACACCCTGTAGTTATCATCCATTCATCTTACTGCAGGAAAATTGGCAAAGGACAAAGGAGAGGGGATGTTTGGATCTTGATGAAAATATGCACCAGCTACTGAAATCTATTTATTAAGGGTTTGCTTTCAAATTGCCACAAATGCAAAGAAAAATATTGTGCCAATGCATCTATTTCAATTCCTGCATGAGATAGATATGTTGTCATAGTACTTATCATGCATCAGAATAAGAGACTTATGAGATTATCTGCCGTGATTTTTGTCTGTGACTTGATTGGGAAATTTCTGCTGCATTTCATTCCTTATTGCTGGTTGGACCTTGAGATTCCAGCGATTCAAAAAAGTGTTACCATAATACTTAAGCATTTGGAGGTCAGCATTTGAGGAAGAAACTGAAAGTAAAAGCCAGCAAATTTTATGCTTGTGTTTCCATTCAGTTTATATTTTGAAATATTATTTTTTTAAATATGAGGATGAAAAATTTTTGTCTTTTAAAATCCATTCTTCCCATTTTGTGTTTAATTTGTGATTGAATTATGGAAGTTACACTTTTAATCTGGTGTGGAAATTAGACTGCATTATTGGCCAGGTTGCTAAGTAGTTGCCAAAATTGCATACTTTTTTAAAATCCACTTTCTCCCTCAGCTTTCAGCTCAAACAATGCAGTGCAATGCAATTGCTCACCACAAAGGCTTATAATACATCTTGAAGTCAATACTATGGCTTAAGTTTGCTAGACAGCATTTTTAACTGCATCCTCTACTATAGGGGGAAGTTAGGCTTTTAGGCCATCTTTTACATGACATTCTTTGAGGAGAATGGGGATGGATCAACATTTGCAAAGGAATGAAATGCTGATAGAACTGCATGAGGAACTGAAAAGCCACCAAAAGGTTCACTTATATACTATATCTTGAACCTGGAAATAGAGGTTCAGTATGAGTTTTTGGTTTATCCTACTAGAGTTGAATTCAGAGTTTGGGTTCTGCTGTCATTATTTGAGGCTTCATTTTGTTTGAAGTCAGTAACATTTTTGACCTATTACCTTCAGGGTTGCTAGAGTCCCAAAAGAATTCACTTTACTTCATGAAGTTCTTAATTTTCTCACAGTTAAACCAGGAAGAGTCATTTTGCCAACAATTTGAGTCATCATTAAAATATTCCTTCCAGAAGCTTGGTATTTTAAATGGAATTAAATATCTGCCAAAATGTGAACTCATACTGTTCCAGATTGATTTCAAATTTTCATAGAATAACAAGTATGTTGTTTATTTCAAGGTAGCACACTATGAGGACGCCTGGATTTGGGTACACAAAGTGGTTTGTGTTTGCACTACACCTTTAGAGGCTGTGTTGTGACCCTTCACAGTCCAAAATCATTCTGCATGGACATTTTGTGGGTCATTGTTAATCAATAGGATGTGAACTTGTGCTCTATGTTCGATTACATGCATTTCAGGTGGTAGAGGATTCCTTGGAGGAAGGGAGCAGAGATGGTGCTTCTGCAAAGGAAGTCACAGAGATAGAAGATGAGAAAATAGAAAAGGTCCTGAGCATGTTGCATGAAGCAGACCCTACAGGAGAACGTACAGATGACCCTCAACTTCCGCAGATGGAAGAAGAAAGCTATGCAATGGGTCCCCTCATTGACCAAGAGCTGGAGCACATTGATCGCAAGCATGCTGTCTTGTCCAAGCTCAATTCTGAGCTCATGGACTCACTAAACCTATATCACAATCTGATGCGTGCACCTATCCCAACATATTCAGCAAGGACTGTGTCTGGGACAGGAGTGACCCCTATGTTCTCAACATCTGGCCCCTCCCAATATGCTTCATTCCCAATGCCTCAACCCAATCCCCAGCCACTTTTCCAACATCCTACACCTTCATTCTATCTGGAATCAGGAGCACAGCCCCATCCAGGCATTCCTTATCCTGTCATGAACAACCCTGGCATGACCATGCCTCATTCCAGTGTATCCTCAGCTCCTGGAGTCATTCCCCATCCTCATGTCATGCCAGCTCCTCATTTTGTCCCTCAGATGATGCCTCCTGTGCAACCCCCAATGCCCCATGCTTCTCATTAGCAAGCCCAGGTGAGAGTAAGACAAAGTAGAGCATTTTCAGGACTCTATAGTTCTTGTCAATCTCAATTTAAGTTTTGAATTTTCTTCCATGCAGACAGCTGGCTATGGGGAGAGAAGGGCAGCAAGATTATTGATGAGTACAGTGTCATGCAGTTGAGATTCATTGTATCCGTGACTCCCCTTTGTGGATTCCCAATTTCTTCATTCACCTATTATACTATTGTGGAATTTAAAATGAATTAATCAATATCTCTCTGATTTTCTTGGGTGCCTTGTTACTTCTTTATTTTGTACCCTCATACAATTTAATGGCTGAATTGAAAGAAATGGAACTGGCTTCCTGCAGGTCAAATAGAACATTGCCTAATTTGATGCAGGTGGAGTTTGCCAATGCCGGATACCATTCATCTTTCTGTGCTGTCGGTCAGTCGACTCCCCTCCCTGATTTTCTTGACGAGTTGTGCATGGTGTATATCCAGTTGGAAGCGTGATTCACATGAGCATACATCAGGGCCGGATTAAGAATTGCGTGGCCCGAGGCAAGTGGATTCTTCCCCCCCCCCCCCCTCTGCTTTACACAAATACTTAACTTTTTTATTTTCTTAGGGGGGAAGGGGGCCTGGAAAAGTGGGGACCGGGACAACAGCTCCCCTTGCCCATCCCCCCTTAACCCGGCCCTGGCACACATGTATATGACCGGTGAATCGCTCACCCGGAAATCTTAGCACGGCAAGAGGAAGAGACGAAATTTTCGCACCCGCTGGTTCAATTCTACAAATAGGTGACAAACGAGATGAATAAAAGGAATCCTGTCGACATGGTCTTTTTCGACTTAGTGATAACTTTCGACACTGTTCTTCACAAGAGGTTGTGAGCTAAACCGGAGGCGCGCGCTATTCAAGGTAGGGAGAGTAACTGCTTGGAAGGAAGATAGTCGAGTTTCCTCAGATGAAGTCAAACGACTTCTGCCATTCATAAAGTTCTTACATTAACGATTTAGGTCAATGCCTAGCGAGTAATATCTGCAAAATGTGGGCGAGTCTGCCGAATGGGATCGCGTGTTCGTGTACGTAAGAGGGCGCTATTATTAGGGTTGCCACCGTTGAAATTAGCAAAATATGGACAAATATATGAAGTATACTTGCATTTGTGATTCTGCTGCAAATACCTACAGCCACCTTTAGCCAAAGTACCAATTGATGCTATAAGAGTGTGGCATACTATTCTGGCTCGAAGAAAACAGTGGTTTTAGCTGCTATTAAGTTTTATTAGCTAAAAAATCTTAACTTTAAAGTATGTATGAAGTAGTGTCCATATTAAGACAAGTTTGCAGCATGGACATTGCATCTGAAATATGAACTGTCCATACTAATTATAAACGGGTGGCAATCCTAGCTATTAGATACGGACTGACTCCAATTAGATAAGTATCGGTGAGATTCGAAAGGACTAGGATGTTCAGCAACAATAACAATGGATATATTGAATGTATACAACTCATTCGTACAGTCTACAGGTACCAGGCAGGAGGGAGGTTGATAAGTCGAGGTCGACGGGAATAATTTACAGGTCCCTATACAATCCAGACATACAATACACACCGTTATACAATGTCACACGATCACATCCACTCTGTGTCTAGTCCACGATCTAGTCTCGCCTCCACCCCCTTGTCCCGGTCCGGGGGAGGTCTCTTGGAGGTGGGAGGTGTCTGGTAGGGGGTGGCTCCTCCTCCACTCCTTGGTGAGGTCCGCCACTAAGCCCACAAAAGTTGCCGACGACTTCAAAATAAGTTTCACCTCAGCGGAGGGGAGGAGGAGCGAGAGCCGAGGGAACTTTCAGACGAGTAGAGAAAAAAAAAAGACCCATAAATAAAGCTTGACAGAGTAAATGTAAGATCCTCATCAGTTATCACGATTGGTCTACCTTCGGCGAGGATAAATTGGGATAATCTCAGATGAGGTTCACGCATCATAGCCTTTCAATGTGCAGTGTTTTTCACCTGACTCCTCAGCACGCATGGTAAGATGAAAAGAGCTCGGACAGTTGTGTGACAAACTGATAAGCCATCCAAGAAGAGCAGTGTGGCTTTCGTGGAGGGCGCACCACAGCAAACCAGACCCTCACTTCATACCAGATTCTCGAGAAGCATTGACGAAGCTGTTTAAGTGTGCAATTAGTACCTCAAAAAGGCGTAGAGCGAATGATACAAATTCCGACCCCCATGACTCCGCAAACTCCTACGTTTCGAAATTTATGATTCCGGGATCTATGCCATTCGAGAGGAGAGTAGTATAAAAAAGGTAAGTTTGACTGGTGGAGCAATGGTGGAGCAGCGGAGCTATATCTTATTTATTATATAACCATAATTTCATATGAATTAACCTCAGGTTATCATCGATTTACACGAGTACTCAGTGAATTAACGTTGATTTATCGAGTGCGCGATGATTTGTATTTTCCATGTACCTTTATGAAGCGATTTTTCGATTTGAAAAATATTATGGCATGAATCTCGCGGCATAAAATCCCAGTTTAATTGACTCTCGTCATTACCGCTTCACATCAAGGTAATCGATAGGGTCGGATGGAAGGATCGATTACGCCAACGTGTTTGGACACATTATCTCCTATGAGTAATGATTGTGGTGGTTTCTTCCGTCACGCTCTTCTGCTTTTACAGCCTCGGCCCCTGAC